TCTTAATTAGTTAGTCTTTAGTTAGTTTTTTCTTAATTAGTTAGTCTTTAATTAGTTAGTTCTAATTAGTTTTTTCTTAATTAGTTAACCCTTAATTAGGTTTTTCTTAATTAGTTAGTCTTAATTAGTTAGTTCTAATTAGTTTTTTCTTAATTAGTTAATCTTTATTTGGTTAGTTCTAATTAGTTTTTTCTTAATTAGTTAACCCTTAATTAGTTTTTTCTTAATTTGTTAGTCCTTAATCAGTTTTTTCTTAATTAGTTAATCTTTATTTAGTTAGTTCTAATTAGTTTTTTCTTAATTTGTTTTTTCTTAATTAGTGAACCCTTAATTGGTTTTTTTCTTAATTAGTTAGTCCTAATTAGTTTTTTCTTAATTTGTTAGTCTTTAGTTAGTTTTTTCTTAATTAGTTTTTTCCTAATTAGTTTTGCCCTAATTAGTTTTGTCTTAGTTTGTTGAGTACCAGAGTGAGGATTGCTAATTAATTGGTTCTGAGCAGTTTATGAGTTACATAATGGTGTAATGTCCTTAACCGTCCGATTTGACTATCGACATCCACGGACGTCTGCTTTTGAATAGTCCGTCTAATATGACCCTATATATACCCATGTTTTTTTTCATTTAGTTTCATTTTACAAGTTTTGATCACTTCGTCGTATGTGGCTGTCTGGATTCAGAAACGTCTGAATTTGAATAGTCCGTCAGGTATGATCATATATATACCCATGTTTTTCACATTTCTTTTCATTTTAGACGATTGATCACTTCTTCGTATGTTGTTATTTACGTTCATGGACGTCCAGATTCCGATAGGCTGTCAGGTATGACTCTATGTGTTCATGTTTTTCTCATTTAGTTTCATTTTAGACGATTGATCACTTGGTAATATGTAACTATTTACATTCATGAACGTCTTCATCTGAATAGTCCGTCAGGTATGAACATATATATATCTAAGTTTTTCTCATTCAGTTTCATATTTCAGGTTTTGATCACTTCTTCGTATGTGTCGATTTGGATTCAGAAACGTCTGAATTTGAATAATCCGGCAGGTATGACCTTATATGTACCCATCTTTTTCTCATTTTATTTCATTTTACAAGTTTCCAAGGGCGCATCGCGTAAGTCCATAGATATTGAAATATTTGTAATTTATTTTCTATTTTAGACTATTTACATGGTGATGTAGGTTGAAAATAGACCTACTTGCAACGAAGCAATACGTATCTCCACGGGATGAACTGATCGCATTTTGTGATAGTGGTGAAGGTCTACTGGCAATATGGAAGGTTTTCACAGTACGTTGCAAAGTAGCCAAATATGGAAGCGTGCAACAGAACAAAAAATGAATCGAAATTTAAGGCCACGTTTAGGTTCTTTTTGTTATCGTCAAGGCCCTTTGGTCTTAGAGTGTGGCACTTGGTAGAACATTGTGAACTGGCTTTGAAAAGGTTTCCTAATGAATCCGATGAACGAAAAGATCGTAATAGTTAAAAAACTATTAACGACGATTTTTCAAGGTCAAATCGATTAAAATCGATGTAAAAGTCATGATTTTTAATAGATGTTAAATTTGAGAAAAATCTGTTAAAATCTTTTGTTATGAAATATATGATTATCATTGATTTTTCAATGATGAAAAATCGATTTAAATGGCACGATTTTCATCCGATTTTCATCCGATTTTTCATCGGCGAAAAATCAATTAAAATCGATTTTATTGGAAAAAATCATGAAAATCGGTTTCCATTGATTTTTTAAGAAAAACAGATTTTAATTGATTTTTTGTTGATGAAAAATCGGATGTAAATCGGGTGTAAATCGTGCCATTTAAATCGATTTTTCATCATCGAAAAATCGATGAAAATCAGATTTTTGACGTTTTTTTTTTACATGGGATATACCTTTTTTTTATTTCTATTATTGCTTGACAATAATGTCAAATGTTCATTCTCAATAAAACACATCTACAAAGTTGTTTCGTTTTGTCTGACCAATCTTTGTATAGTATGCGGTACTATAACAGGTCTCACTTGTCTGTGTAAATGTCTAGTATATTTAATCTTCAGAGATAACCAACAGTTTCGCCATAACTTCCAAAAACGAACATCTAATGCTGCAATAATTATTGGATCTAAAAGTATTTCAATAAAATTAAGTAATCTAACAATACATGTAACATTTCCACTAATCGATAGTTGATAAGCAATAATATTTGGTGACCAAAGTATTAACCAGATAATATAGAAAACAAGAAATTGGATAACTAATGAACGATTATATTTTTCACGGGCTGATACATGATGTCGTCCTTGTTGTAAAGTTGATACTAAATGAACATGACGAATACTGAGACAAATGATTGTAATATGAAGAAAGATAGGAAGAATAAATGCAATGATGATATTAAATATTTGAATATAGATAGTGACATAAGTTACACTACATAGCTCATCATGGAGTTTCTGTAATTGTGCCCAACCAATAATAAATTGTACAGATAAAATTAAAAAAGGTATAACATAGATACCGAAATGAGTTAAAATCAATAATTTTACATGAACTTGATAAACATTTCTATTATATACTATTTGTATATAACGACATATATTCAAAGCTAATAGAATATATACTTCAAGTAGATTAAGATAATTATCAACTGCTGCTTCAAAATAACAGATAAATAAAAACCATGCTATGTTAGATGCACAATCAGTAGATGTTGTATGTACAATATAAATGAGGAAAAATCGAAAAAGAAGAACTATGTCCGTAATAAGATAAGCATAAATCCATTGCATTGATGTTTGTCGAACAGATGAACAAAAAACAAGTTGAAGCCAAAATATTCCATGCATGATACATGCGATTATACAGACAATACGTATTGGATGATGACTATTGATAGGGCATCGATTCCATGAGATATCTAATAAACATGAAATATTCGAGTTTTTTGAACTAAGTAAATTCATAATATATATGGAGTATTTGTTCGAAATAAATGAATTATGACGCAGTCTTATTCAACAGCTATATTAAGACTATAAATCTTTTCTTCCATTCTTTGACATTGAATTATGCTAAATTATAATAATGAAAAAAGAATCCACTTCAGTATACTGTCAAATTCTCCTAAAATAGAAACTTACTAGAAAGTATGGTATGAACTTTTTATGGCGTATGTTCAATTCTAAAATTATCTGATAAAGATTTAATCTCTTTCTCAACTGTCACTGCATGTTCCTAAGAAAAGTTCATTGAATGTCACAGCTCCTATATCATTACTAGCTTGTAAAAAGCGTCTTTTTTCTATATAAAGATTATATGATGAAACAAAACTATATCTATATTAGTACAGAATGACAATGTTACTAAGATTGTTTCTAATCCTTTTCTTCATTAGCTCAGTAATGAATAGATTACACAAGATCAACAGTCTTTTTAACATCTCAAATATTTCTATTTTAAGTTTTATCTAATTGTATATCATTATAGATTATGACTGTTTATTTTGACTATATTAGTATTATGAAAAAGCTTTAAACTTTATTTGAATTAGATAAGGTACTACAAGAAGAAAAAATATAGACTGAATGAATGTCCTTGTGTATTAGACTGTAATAAAACTATTTATAGAGCAGTCGTTTGTAATCGTGGGGTTTTAGCTGATATAACATGAACATTCGTTGTTGCAGGTCGAATTCGTCCTCCATTTAGTTGATTGAAAACTTTATTATTTTTCAAATACATGAAAACTTTTCGCCATTCTTGCCAGAAGCGAACATCTAGTGCTGCGATTATAATTGGATCTAAAGTTATTCCAATAAAATTAAGTAATCTAACGATACTTGTAACATTTCCGTCAATTGATATTTGATAAACGATAATATTTGGTGACCAAAGCGATAGCCAAATAGTATAGAAAACAAGAAATTGAATAACTAATGAACGATTATATTTTTCACGAGCTGATACATGATGTTGTCCTTGTTGTAAAGTCGATGTTAAACGAACATGACGCATACTAAGATAAATAACTATAATATTAAGAGAGATTGGAAGAACAAATGCCGTAATAACATTAAATACTTGAATATATATGTTCGTATACGTAACTTGACTTGAATCTCTAAAATTCACGACTAATTGACTCCAACCACAAACAAACTGTATAACCAAAGAAATCAACGGAAATATATAAATACATAAATGAGCTAAAATCAATAGTTTTGCATGGGCTCGATAAACATTTTTATTATATACTATTTGTATATAACGACATATATTTAAAGCTAATAGAATATATACCTCAAGTAGATTAAAATAATTATCCACTGTTCCATCAAAATAATATATAAATAAAACCCATGATCTGCTGGGTTCACAAATATTAGATGTCGAATAAACAATATAAATGAGGAAAAATCGAAAAAGAAGAACTATATCCGTAATAAGATAAGCATAAATCCATTGCATTGATGTTTGCCGAACAGATGAACAGAAAACAAGTTGAAGCCAAAATACTGAATGAATAAATGAAGCTATTATACAAACAATAAGTCGAGCTTTTCGACCATCAAGAGCTTCCTGCGTCCAAAAAAGTGGTGTTAGACATGTAATATTTGTGCTATTAAATATTGATGATTCCATTGTTACATATGACATCTAAAAGAGAAGTTTTCTTTTACAATAACATCAGATATTTCGATACTTTCTATATATATACATATAATTTCATACTGAGAAATATAACGGAAGCTTAATTTATAATTAGGCTATTTTGTAGAATTCATCAACGAGTACAAATAAGGGTTATACTATAATTTTTTGTCCTCTCCGTACAACATTCATAGTAGAATCTAACAAGTCTAGAGCAAAGTAAATTTAACTTAATTTTTAGAAGAGTATATATTTATTACACTTGATTGTAACATCAGACGATCATAAGACTACTAAATAAGGCAATACTAACATTAACACATATCCGAAGAAGTAAGAATCGTAATAGAAAAAATAAAAGTTTTTGATTTATATATTAAAGGTAAAAAAAAGTTGACGTTTAGCGCCCGAATAAACAATAGTTAGATGCAAAGATTAGCGTGAAAATTAATCTGACAAGAAATAGAAAAGACGAGGTCAATCTATTAAATTAATAAAAGAAAATTAAAATGTCCTGTTTTACTATGTAAAAATCTGGTATATATAACAACTCACTCTGATTAAAAGTGGTGAAACTGAATATAAAATGAAATGTTGCAACACTATATATGCATGTTTCTCATATCATGCTGCAAAAAATTTGACATATTGCATGACAAAATTTTCATACGCTCTGTTATATGTAATCGTAAATATCTTATCTAAATTATAATAATGATGTCTAAAGTATTCCGTGATTTTAAACGCATCGTTCAGATCCAAGTAGAATTTAATAACGCAAAAAAATCGTATGTACTCCACTTTAATTATTGTATATGCTGTAATAGATTTATAGCAGGTTACAAAAAAATGAGATAAGACTATAATATCAAAGATAGAATTGCACAATTAACATTTATTTAGTTTGAATCAACAACAAAAGCAGAAAATCGATTCATAATGCATGCATAAAAGGATAAAGATTAATTTGTATCAGACTTTATTTCGTCGCAGGCAATATTTCAGACTAAAGTCAAAGAGTACTGTGTGCGAAATTAGCAGTACTCAAAATATGACAATCTAAAAATTTATTTGGGATTGAATATTGACATACCATTGACTTATGTGAAGAGTGTATGAATATGTATCCGCAGGAGAGGAAAGAATAATAAAACGTCAATGTTAAGACAATGATTCATTATTATCAGTATGCTTTGCAGAAAAGAAACAAGAAGTTGGTTTAATTCATTATTTCTTTCAATATTTATCAAAATATCTAAAATTTGGTTTCACCATAATTTCTTTTATGTGAATAATTAAATGTCATATGTGATAGCGTGTCATATTCCAATTTCATTTTTAATTATTGTTAAATCTAGTTTATAATTTCTCATATGAGAAGAATTTTTCTATACTGCATGCAAAAGAATAAAATTGTAAAAATTAACACGAAAACTTACTATATTTTTATTCCATTATATTGATAATTTTTTTTCTATTATTGATGCTATTCAAAATTACATCTTTACCATTGAAGAAATGTGCTCGAATGTAGTCTGCGCACTTTTTCTGTAATTATTTACTAGATAAAACTATAAGACTAAATGAATAAATTGAAAAGAATAAGTGTATGATTCCGGTGCTCATCGTCATTTCACATCCATGTCCGAAGATTACTTTTCAAAAGTATAGAATGCTTGAAGCATTTCCCAGTTCAAGTGGTTCAATTACCTCTGTTTGAAACCATTGTGTTCTAGCGGCATCTTGATGGAAGTACACCACTGTAGGAGAGGATAGTATTTTTTCTAACGATGGAAATGGCGAAATTATGGATGCGTCATAGAATATAATATCGAATATTAAATTATATTAGAACTGTAATATATTATTTTCTTAATTATAAATATATATATATAGATATTCATTTGTTTTAGATGTTCTCACAAGCTATACCTTGGCGACGAGTAAGAATTTATATTGAATTTTCTTAATAATAATAATTTTCATATTTAATTTCTTTAGTTTTCAAACCAATGTTTGAATTGTTCACGTACTATCGTACTTAGAAATGCATCTTCATCATCATCAAGTAGTGGTGGTAAAATGAAGAGATCGATATGAATTTTTATTATTCATTTCTTCTTTTTTTTATTTTCTAGAACAACAATTTGATCTTGTAGTCATTGGTTCTGGACCAGGTGGATATGTAGCAGCTATTAAAGCTGCTCAACTTGGTCTTAAAGTTTGTTAATAAATTTTCATTTCTAATTATTAATAAAACAAAAAAAAACGTGTGTTCTTATTCAGACAGCTTGTGTTGAAAAAAATGCAACATATGGTGGAACATGTCTTAATGTTGGTTGTATTCCTTCAAAAGCAATGCTTCATAATTCTCATCTCTATCATATGGCCAATCATGGTGAACTTAAAAAACGAGGCATTGACGGTATGTGATTACCATTGGAGATTTTTTGATTTTTGAAAAAAATAAATTTTATTATAGTCGAAGGTGTTTCACTTAATTTACCTGTATTTATGAAACAAAAAGAAGATGCTGTTAAAGGACTTACTGGAGGTGTTGCTTATTTATTTAAATCTAACAAAGTAAATATTGTTGATTAAATAAGTACATTTTAAAAGAAGATATTTTTAGGTAACTGGTATTCGTGGTTATGGAAGTGTAAGTGGACCTGGACAAGTAACTGTAAAGAAAGAAGATGGTTCAAATGAAACACTTAACGCTAAAAATATTCTTTTAGCTGTTGGTTCAGAAGTAACACCATTTCCTGGTATAGATGTATGTAAAAATGGATTATTTTATTTGATAAAATTTTTAATTTATTTTTAATATTAGATTGATGAAGAAACAATTGTATCATCAACTGGTGCACTTTCACTTAAACAAGTACCTAAAAAAATGGTTTTAATTGGTGCCGGTGTTATTGGACTTGAATTGGTATATATATATTTTTTTTGTTAAATAATTTCTAGTTTAATTTTGAAAACAAATTTCTATTTTTTCTAGGGTTCTGTATGGAGTCGTTTAGGTGCAGATGTCACATGTGTAGAATTTTTATCTCATATTGGTGGTGTTGGTATAGATATGGAAGTGAGCAAAGCATTTCAAAAAATTCTCACAAAACAAGGATTAAAATTTAAACTTGATACAAAAGTAACTGGCGCTGAAAAAACAGATGGAGGCATACGTGTTAATGTTGAAGGAGCCAAAGGTGGTAATAATGAAGCGGTACATATTTTGTTATTTTTTATTAAATTATTTATATTTATTATGTTTTAAATTTAGCTTGATTGTGATTCTCTACTTGTATGTATTGGTCGAAGACCTTTTACTAAAGATCTTGGTCTCGATAGTGTTGGTAAGAAAAAATTAATTAACATTAAAATTTATTTTTGAACATTTTGTTTTTGTTTCTATTTAGATATTAAATTGGATAAACGTGGTCGAATTGAAGTTGATAAAAATTTTCAAACATCATGTAAAGGTGTCTATGCTATAGGTGATTGTATTCAAGGACCTATGTTAGCACATAAAGCCGAAGATGAAGGAATTATTTGTGTTGAAAGTATTGTTTCGGGTCATGAACCACATATAGATTATAATTGTGTACCGAGTGTTATATATACATATCCTGAAGTATCGTGGATTGGAAAATCCGAAGAACAATTAAAACAAGAAGGTATTAAATATAAAGTTGGTAGATTTCCAATGGCCGCTAATAGTCGAGCTAAAACAATAAATGAAGCTGAAGGTTTTGTTAAAGTATTATCTGATGCTCAAACTGATCGAATACTTGGCGTACATATGATTAATTCAGTATGTTGAATAATTTTGAATTTTATTTCATTTGATAGAACAATTGTTTTCTTTTTGTAGGTAGCCGGTGAATTGATTAATGAAGCAGCATTAGCTATGGAATATGGTGCATCATGTGAAGATGTTGCACGTGTTTGTCACGCGCATCCTGTAAGAAATTAATTTTGTTTTTTGAACATATTACTTATATTTGATCATTATTTTAGACCTGGTCAGAGTCATTAAAAGAAGCCAATCTTCAAGCTTATTTTGGTAAAGCAATCAATTTTTCGTAATACCATCGTCGTAATAAAAAAAAATGAGAACAACTTGACACTTAGTTCTATTTTTTTGTTTTCTGTGACATTTAGTTTATTTTTCTTTCCTCTCAGCGATATTCTTCATACATAAACTACAATAAACAAAGCAAATAGTGTTGCCTTGCAACAATTTAACAAAAAAGCAGTGATAAAAAAGAATACAAATCTATTGAAATTAAAATAGAAAAGAAAATCTTTTGCTTTAAAGATGCAAATATGATTATTATCCTATGACCTTGTTGATCCAATTTGAAAGGAAAATAGAAACAATAAGATGCATTTAAGAGAAAGAAAACTTCTGGAATTATTTTTTTTTCAAACAAGACATTACCTTGAAAAATATAATGTCTGAAATTTATAATGCCAGCCTTTTTAAATGATCAACATATTATCGAATGTTTTTATATCAAAAAGAAATACTTTTATGTCATAGATGCAAATAGTGCGCAATTGGAATGAGTCAACTTAATTTTTTTCTTCTCGTTTTTTCCATCGACTATCGATAAAATCCGATTATAAATCTATTTAGTGTCCATTTACCAAATAAAACAACATTCGGTAAGTCACAATATATATATGCATAAACTTTTTTTTTCTTATAAAAAAAATCGAGATTAAAGATAAGGATTAATATTAAGATTTCTATAAATTATTAACTTATCTTTAACAAGAAAGAAAGAAAACGAATATGTTGACTGGAAATAGACATATGTTAGTGTTGTTCTTCAAGACAAAAAATATACATGCCGTAATCATACATGATATAACATATCTCTTGTTTCTTCCTTTTTCATATTATTTTAATCAGTTCTTTTCCTACACACTATTTGATTGAGCTTTTCATTCTTTCACTTTTTTTTCTTACAACATTGCACTATATATATGGACACTCGAGTTACTAGCAATGACAGTAACGTTTGTTTGATCATTGTGCTTCCGAACACTAAAGCGCCCTTGTATTGATCGCTGAGAACGAGAGAACACATACATCTCTTTCTCTTTCTCTCTCTTTCTCTGTATATAACATTTTTTTCTTTTTACTATTATTTCTTCCCTTAAAGACTGTTAAAATGCAAGTAAAACAATATTAATACTCACTAGTACTACGCTGATATGGCACTTAATTATGAAACATTAATACGTGCTGCCAGTAAATCACCTGAGCAACGAACAGTTACTGAAGTTAATGATTTTATAGTTCCATGGCTTAGACAATCATTAAAAAAGAAGCAAGGAATATTTCAAAAGATTTCAGATGGTAAGATAAATTCATTTTTTTATGTATTCTTCAATCTATTCATCATTGAATTTTTCAAGATGTTGTTAATGATATATGTAAGACAGTTGTGTTAGAACGACGTCCACCATGGGATATAGTTATTCGTCAAAATGATCCTGGTGACAAGTAAATTAATTTGAAAAGATTTTTTTCATATATATATTCATAATATATATTTTTTAGATTTTATATTATATTACAAGGTTCAGTTAATATCTATCGTCTTGATGATGATAATCCTAAACCAACGCAACCGACTTCTGATATCAACGTAGAATTTGCTAAACTTCGTAATGAACCTGAAAATCGTGATCTATTTATTACACAAAATTTTGGCAATTATATTGTTTCTTTAGGTATGATTACAAATAAAACATTCATATAATGAGTGTACTTTTCATTAAATATGATCTTAAACCACATCCTTACGGTTACTTTAACCTAAATTTCAAATAATAAAATATGTTGTTTTATCATTTTGTTACGGGAAACAAATGAAGTTTGAAGAGACACTTTACTATATTTAGTCTTTTTTCTTTGTTTAATGATGTATATCAATAACTCAAATGCGAAGGTTGAAGTACTTGTGAAAATGAATCTTTTTAAAACTTACTTTAAATAGTGAATTTTCATGAAAACTATATTTATTAGAAGATAATTGATAATTATTCAATCAAATTTTTATAGAACAATGAGATTTAAATAGATTATGTTTTTATAGTATAACTATTTTAGTGATGATTTTATTAATAGAAATTTTTACTTATAGCGGGTGGTCACGATTTTGGTGAGCGCGCACTTATTACAAATGAGCCCCGAAGTGCAACTGTCATGACAACCACATCTACCGATCTATTAGTTGTTGATCGAGAGGTTTTTAGTCGGTGCGTAGTTAATGTGTTTATTATTATTATTTCATTCTTATTCTGTTTTAAAATAGAACACTTAAGTCAGCACATGAAAAAGAATTACAAGAAAAGACGGATTTTATTAATCGAAGTCCATTATTTTCTTCATGGTCACCACGATTAAAACGTCTTGTTAGTCTTAGTTTAGAACGAGGAAGATTTGCGTATGATAGTGTACTTTATAGACAAGGTGCACCTGCTCATGCTGTTTATTTTATATGGAGGTAAATTAACTTTTCCTATTTTGCTGTCGAAGTTTGATATAAAATATTTATTTAATTAGTGGTGAAGTTAAAACAAGTATAGATCCATTACTTCATTGGGTACAGTATCCACAGCTTCTTCCACAATCAGATCCAATGAAACAGTAAATATCTTTTTTTTTATTAAATAATTTCAATAATATATTTAGACGTGCTATGGATTTGTATCTTCCAATGTTGCAATTATCTCGTCCATCATATCATGTAGCATCAACAGAAAGTTTCTCTATAAAACGACGTTCAATGACATTTGCTGAAGCTGAAAAAGAGCGTGCTTATCGAACTATACAAGTTGCTTTATTAAATGCAGGTGATATGATTGGTCTTGAATCTTATGTATGTGATCTACCGACATATATGAATTCTGCAAGATGTACAGGACCATGTGATTTATTTTATATTTTAAAACATAATTTTGTTCGTTTACAAAAACGTAATGGTACACAAGGTATTAGTGAGCGTTTAAGAGAAATTGTTCTTCTCTCATTACAAGCATGTCCACTACGCATCTTAAATTTACCATTATTTAAATCGTTAAAGAAACGACAATTAGCGCCAGCAATAAATGAAGATTATCAAAAATATCACTCTAAACAATCATGGCTTTTACGTATTCCTAATAGAACTCAGTCTGTGTGTTATATATATATTTATATCTGTTTCTTTACTCTTATACATTGTTAACTAAATTATTTAGAGTTCTCGTCGAATACGTTCAACATTAATTAATACACCAACATTAAGTCATACATCATCGTTACGTGCACCGCGTCCAACACCGGTAAAAAATGCAGATGCAGTACAATATGTTGCAACTGATAATGCTAATGTTAATAAAGTTGAAGACCGTCTAAAACAGTGGCATGCACAAATTGGTGAAGATTCTAAAACACAAATAAGATCATTAACACGATCTGTAAGAGTTAAAAATAATACTAAGATTTCTTATTTTTGTTTTGTTTTTGTATGATAGAACGCTAAACGTCCAGTTAGAAGCGCTGTAATACGTTCAGCATCAATTGAAACATCAAAACCACGATCTCGTCCGACGGGTACTTCGTCAAGGTAAATGAATTAGTGTTTACATAAGAGTCTCGTACTATTATCGAGAATATAATGAATAGTTCTTTCTACTGATATATTTGAGAAGATATTCCCACATATAAATCTTCATAAAAAAATCAAACATCTATTTAGTTAAATGACTTAATTGATAAATTAAATTTTCTATGTATTTCTTTGTTTCAATCTTCGTATGTATTATTATAATTATCAAAAATATATCTAAAATAGTATTTCTAATTATGGTAATGAATCGGTTGTTCCTATTGAACTTCTTACAGACCCCGGCGGGACAATAAATGAGCCTTTACGACCATATTCAAGTGTAAGTATGATTGAATTTATTTGTGTTCTTTAATATAAAAAAATATATTTAGTACATGCCTGCTTCTCACGCAACTAATTTATCTCAATTACAAATGTATTCGAAACAAGAACGTTATGAAGATCTTCGTGCTTATCTTAAGCAAGCATGGAAAGTCTTTCGTAAACGACCTATTCCAAGTGTTTACTGATATATTTTTCTTTTTTACTAAAAAATAAAAAAATAAAAATTATTGTTACATTTGTATAAATCTAAATATTTGAAACGTTCATATCATAATATGTAGGCGTAAATTCAGGAAGTTATTTGTAAAAAAAAATGGTTGAAATTCCGTTGTATCTAAACTATGAAGATATATTGCATAACGTTTTCTTTTTGCCAAATATCCGTAGTACATTATTTATATTTTAAAAAAATATTGAATACAATTTTTAACATAAGATAAATACATGAGTTTATTAGACTTTTGTTATTTTTCAGGTTCGTACAAACATCGATGAGATGATGACTATACATATTAACAGGGTGACGCGAGTCAGCCAATATTGGGGAGTGTAGCATTCTCTTTGGTGAAAGATCTAAGAAGATTTGCCGATTTTGTTGAGCAAAAAATAAACATTTGGGGGTAGGTGTGATGTTACACCCTCCGTTGCGCCATCCATGTTCTTATGTCATATATAGATTATAATACATTCTGATATTTAAAATAAAATATATATTAATTAGATTTGAGAAATTTACTTATAAATTTCTCATTGATCTGTTTAACTTGTGTATGCAAGTTTCATGTATAAAATCTTCATCAGATTTTTGTTCACTTGTAGTTTACAAAAGAAAATCAAAGTCATGTTCTTTCGAAATATATATTCAACATTTTACTTTGATTTAAAGTTAATTCATTCAGAGTATTTCTTTGATAAGAAGTCAAAAACAATGTTTGTATATAATTTCTCAGAGTGTGTGGGTGGATTTGGCAGCGAGAACAATGTCGCTTATTTCCACATCCACCTTCATTATCTTCCACAATTTTGTTCAATTGAAATCAAAGATCTATTATCTAATCAAATTCTTTTTTTTACATAACAATAAGAGTAATAAAGTTAATATTTAAATCTATTCTAGAATGCTGTCCGATACCATCATAAAAAGAATATAATCCAATGTTAAACAAGAAATCGATCGAAGAAAAAATAGATTATTTAAAAACATTCATCTAGGGTATACGCTCTATCTCGCTTACTTTCCTTTCCTTTCTAGTATATTTAGTCGCATGATCTTTACCTATACCCAGGACGATGATTTCTGACGCAGTATTGTGGGAGTATTCTGGGAAACCCGCCAGAAAACTGACAGTTTCTGGCCCGAACTCACTGAAAAAAGCTAGAAATTCTGTGAAAGAACTCGTCAACCGTATCCGACTGCCGGGTTTGACAAGCTTCTGTGGTTTCCGGACAGAATCGGATAAATCCGATGATCGGATCCATTCACTGGCGTACTGTTTCCATGAAACCTCCGGAATATCACAGAGCTGGCCGTTTCCGTGCTGGATTGTGTGACCTGGGTAGATCTAAATATATATATTTAGGTTTTTTTACAGATTAATTTTATCAGTTTGTTTTAGATTATATAATGGCTTCAAGTGATTCAACCAACACGGCTTCAAGTAACTCCAACGATATGACTTCAAGTGATTCAAAAAACGTTTTGGCGACACATGCTTCGAAAGAAAAACTTTTAATTGCGGTTCTAAAAACAAAATTGGAGGTGAGAAAAATATTTTAAAAATCACTTTTAAAACAAAAATTCTCGTTTAGGAAATAGAATTAAAAGAATTACCAAATAAAACTTCAGATAATTTAAAAACATTTAAAGAAACACAAAATAAATATCCACATGATCCAAATATCGTCAAAGTCGTTGCAGCTACTGATAAAGAACTAATATTTTTAAATTTTGTGATAGATTATATTGTATCAGATAATTAAATACACCCTCTCAAGATTTTACTTTTAAAAGATTTTATAGTTTATCGTATTTTTAATATCTCTTCATCAAAAGGCAACCAAATTTCAACTGATCCATCAGTATGAAATTCATTATTTTATATTTCAATTTACTATGGCGTTTGCTTTTATGTAAACAAATACAGCAACAATCGAAGATAATCATTTTATGAATTCTGACAATTATCAACCAGCATCGAATAATACAAATCAACTAATCAGTAATAATACTCAACAGGTTTTCTAGATTAGTTTTTCTTACATACATTTTGTTACATGTTCATTATATTACTTTCAGGCTGTCTGTTCTTCAATTGCATCAAGAACTAATAAAATAAAATACGTAATTATTATCATTGCATTATAAATATCGAATTTTATCTACTTAAAATGAATTGATGTTCGTTATTGTTGTCATATTAAGATCACGAATGAGAAGAGGATCAATTGCTAATCGATGAAATCGTTGATTAACATCTTCAAGTGTAGAAAACACTTCAACTGCATTCAATTTTTGGAAAACAAGAAATAAAACTTCATCAGATATATTCAGAATATTGATATAATCCTTCATATTGAATTTATACAACCTACTCCTATGAACATATATATATATATATATATTCTCTTCGTATTGTCTATAAGAATAATAACGAATAAATATTCGATGGCGTCATGTTACTCTATAAAGAATATAACAAACCAATTGAAAATGAACTGTTGAATAGCATTAATATTCTCAGAAATACATGTGAATTATATATCATGATTCATTCTATCACATGTTTTTTTCTCAGAATTTGTTCAGAGTGCAATATCAATCAACGTATTATTTTATTGTTAAACAAGAGATTTCTTATGTCATATATAGATTATAATACATTCTTATATTTAAAATAAAATATATATTAATTAGACATGAAATATCTACTTATAAATTTCTTATTAATATGTTTAACTTGTGTATACAAGTTTGATGTATAAAATCTTCGTTAGATTTTTGTACACTTGTAGTTTACAAAAGAAAATCAAAGATGATCAAAATACAATGCCAATGCCATATTCTTTCGAAATATATATTCAACATTTTACTTTGATTTGAAGTTAATATATTCAGAGTATTTCTTTGATAGGAAGTCAAAGATTTTCTTATAAGTTCTATGAACAAAATTTGATATGGAAATTGGTAGATGATCTCAGATCTTTATTAACGAATTGATTCTTAAATTTATTTTAGAATTATGTTCGATAGCATCATAACAAGAATATGATCCAATGTTATACAAGAAATCGATTGAAGGAAAAATAGGTCATTTAAAAACATTCATCTAGGGTATACGCTCTATCTCGCTTTCTTTCCTTTCCTTTCTTGTATATTTAGTCACATGTTCTTTGGCTATACCCAGGAGGATGATTCCTGACGCAGTATTGTGGGAGTATCCAGGAAAACCGTCAGAAAACTGACAGTTTCTGGCCGAAACTCGTTGAAAAAAGCTAGAAATCAGGTGCAAGGATCCGCTGACCGCATCCGACTGCCGGGTTTGACAAGCTTCTGTGGTTTCCGGACAGAATCGGATAAATCCGATGATCGGATCCATTCACTGGAATACTGTTTCCATGGAATTACGCAGTTGGCCGTTTCCGTGCTGGATTGTGCGACCTGGGTAACACACATATATATACATATACATATTCTTTGTATTATGCTGTTAGACAGCATTTTAGAATGGATTTAAATATATATGTGTATATATCATTGTTTATTTTAAATATTAACTTTAATTTTACTATTTTTAGATTTTCGATTTTCGATTTTAAATTTCAAATGGCATCAACATCAAGTCAATCGATACCATCTGATTCAAATACACCGATGGCCTTATCAAAGGAATTATTCTTAGCCGACGTGAACAAAACGAAATTTAAAGTAAGAAAGCATTGACAAATTTTTTCTTATAAAAACAAATCTCTCATTTAGTTGCAACAGGTCGAATCATTCAGAGAAACGATACAAGGACATCTGGACACAATTAAATCGATGCAAATGATGATGAAAAACGATGATTCAGTTGCACGTGCCATTAAACAAACTGATAAACAACTGTCTTTAATTGATGCGATTATATATTTTCTAAAATTTGATCAATACATTTTTTCCTTTTTATCAGTTTAGATTAAAAATGGAACTTACTATTCTTGATCTTTCTCACAATGAAACTGAAGATGCAGTAATATCACAACTAGGGGTGTGGGTGTGGATGTGAGAACAGCATTTAATCCACACCACACCCTCATCTTCAAGATGCACTAGAATGAGGGCGGATGTGGGTGTAGGTTTAGGCAGACCTGTGAGTGTATTGAGTCTGTAATATTCATACCTACACCCACACCCGGGGTACCACGGAACCGGCCGGTTCCGTGCCCGATTGTTCGACCTGGATCATTCTAAAGTAGATCTAAATATATATATTTAGGTTTTTTATATATTAATTTTAGCAGTTTTATTTTTTAGATTATCATGGCTACAGATGCTGTAAAAGAAGCGTTCTTAAGTAAGGTTCTCAAGAGAGAATTCAATTTAAAAAAAATATTTCGAAAAGACCATTCAAAGAAAAAATTTCTTGTTTAGAAGAGAACCTCCAAGATTTGAAAAAAGACATGGAAGGAAATCTTGCAACATTTAAAAAAGTGAATGCATTAATTAAAAGAGACCATAAGGTTGAAAAGGTTATTATGATGTAACCGGACATCATTTTAGATCTGATCTAAATATTTTTATTTAGTTTTTATAAAATATAAAATATATGATTTTATTTTTTAGATTTTGTCTGTAATAGCATCAAATAAATCATCTACTGGATCGAATATACCAACTATCAAACAACTATTCTTACGGGACGTTGAAAAAACTAAATTCGACGTAAGAAAAATTATGAAATATAATTTTCAAAAAGTTTTTTCTCTCATTCAGATAGAGCTGTTCAAAAATCTTCGTGACAAATCGGTGCAGAACATGGTTGGGTTCGAAGAATTGCATAAACAAAGTGTATACTGATGCACAAAAACACATCGACTTCGTAAATTATATAATGAATTTTTCTTCATCTATTTTTATTTATTGAAACAAATTATAACAAAGGAAAATAGTCATAAAAGGTTTTTGAGCCAACAAATAGTTGACATACATCAAGACGTTTCAATTTATCGAAATTAAAAAATGCTGCATTGTTTGTAAAATTATCTGTTATTGCCACGAGTGATTTATATTCGATGGTAAGATTGATCAAATGAGGTAGATTGATATTTTGTTTGAAGAGAAATAGTTTCGCATAGTCAACATGCGCATATTTCAGAGCTAAATGTGTCAGATTAGGAAATGTGATTATTGTTGATGAATGTTGATTCTCTTCTTGTGGCCATGTATTAGATATATACAAAAATTCGAGAAAAGGAAAATCTTGTGAGATGATTTTAAATAATTTATATTCGAAAGGAATTATATCGCTCATTTCTAATCGCCGAACCTTCTCGAATATACCTCCTTGGAAAGAGTTATCAAGTCCAATAAAATATTCGAAGTCATAGGGAAGTGTATAAACATGACAAATAGAACAACGCGGATCTGGATCTGGCTCCATATATACATGCACAGCTACTGGCTCATATATTCTTCCAATGAACGTACGTTGAATATCTTCAGTTGTTGAAATGTCATTTGGAATGATGTCAAAAGTGATATCTGACTCTATATTGAATGTAAACTTTCTTAATTGTGTCATATAAATAAGAAATTGATCATATAATTGATTTCCATCTATGAAACTTGGATATAACCGTCCTACGTTTAGATACAATTGCAATTCTTCAAGATTTATCATTCGACAAAGTAATGGAACTATTAAATTGTCATATTCTTGTGTATAACCAAACGATGTGAATGAGAAACATTTCAAATTTGGAAGTTTTTTCTAAAAAAAAAGAAAAAGTATAAATATTTATTCACTTGTTTTTGCTTTATTTGTTTTTCTCTAAACATGATTATTGAAATTTTACTTACAGTTGGATCAATAGGTTCTAACATTTCTGGATGAAAAATAGAAAATACATTGATAATTAATGTTGATAAAGAAACAAGGGGTCCATCAAGTAAATAGAGACAATAGGTTAAAACCGGAAGATTGATTTTTAATTTGTTTAAACTAGAAGGCATATAATTGTTTTGTAGCAAATAAGGAAGACCACTGCAACAAGTTCTTGTTAGATACATATCACAAAAATTCAATGAAATTAAATTTTTACATAAAGATAAGATTAATTGAAAAATCTTTGACATTGTTTCCGAATTTGGTTCTACTATAATTTTCATATCAATATTAAGATGTGTTATTTGTTTGGTCAAAAGATCACGAAGAATTAAATCGTCTTAAATTAAGAAAAATTATTTCAATATTAATTCTAAAGAATAAAATCAAATTCTATACCTGTTAAATATTGATAAAGTATTTCTTCTTCACAATTAATTAATGATAAAGAATAAAGTTGAGGATAATTACCAGCACGAAGAATTTCTTTCATTGAATCTTGTTCAACAGTGAGTTTCTGTACTTGTGTATGAATTTGTGGTAAGATTTTTTTACAAATTCTTGAAAGAACTTTTGAATCCATTAAAGAATTTTGATCGTAGAATGAATTGATGTTTGTTATTGTGGTCATATTAAGATCACGAATGAGAAGAGGATCAATTGCTAATCGATGAAACCGTTGATTAACATCTTCAAGTGTAGAAAACACTTCAACTGCATTCAATTTTTGGAAAATAAGAAATAAAATTTCATCAGGTATATCCAAAATATTGAGATAATTCTTCATATTGAATTTATACAACCTACTCCTATGAACATATATATATATATATATTTTCTTCTGAGTATTGTCTATGAAAATAATAGCGAATAAATATTCGATGGCTTTTTTTATAAAGAATGTAATAAACGGACTAGACTAATTGAAAATGAACTGTTGAACAATAACGTATTATTATCTTGTTAAACAAGAGATTTCTTATGTAGGAGTGGCGCGAATCAGCCAATACAGAGGGGGGGGGGGGAAGATGTAGCATTCTCTTTTGTGAAAGATCTAAGAAGATTTGTCGATTTTGTTGAGCAAAAAAAAAAGTTTTGAAAATTAGGGGGGTATTACACCCCCGCCCCCCTACATATGAATTAAATTATACTAATAAATTTCATTAGATATTTTATTTATGATTAAGAATTATTTGCATACAGATCATCCTTTTTTATTATTTTCAAAGATTCCATTAAACAAATGCAGAAATAACTTTTCACTCAATAAATGTTTTATGGTTTAAATCTATTGAAAATAGTTTTATTCAACTTGTTTCTTATGCAATTGGTACTGTGGTTAATTTGCTACTACCAGAAGGAGAATGTTTTCCTTTTGTTGGCGATTTGTTGACTGTCGAATTTTGTTGTGGTTGTTGTCGAGGAGCGTTGTTGTTCAATGATTTACTTCGACTTCCAGATGATACAGATTGTGCAACATTATTGACTGAATTTTGTGTCTGTTGTGGTTGAATTTGTACAACATTATTGGTTGCATCTTGTTGTCGTTGTGATTGAACTTGTGTACCATTATTGACTATATTCTGTGATGGTTGTGATTGAGATTTTGTATTATTTTTGCTTCCATTATGTGGTACACGTGAATGAGATTGTGTAGCGTTATTGGCTGTATTATGTGATCGTCCTGAATGAGATTTTACAACAGTATTGACTGCATTTTGTGATTGAATTTGTGTGGCATTATTGGCTGCATTTTGTGGTTGAATTTGTACAACATTATTGGTTGCATCTTGTTGTCGTTGTGATTGAACTTGTGTGGCATTACCACCTGCATTCTGTGGTCGTTGTGGGTGAACTTGTGTGGCATTGCCACCTGCATTCTGTGGTCGTTGTGGGTGAACTTGTGTGACATTATTGACTGCATTCTGTGGTTGTTGTGGGTGAGATTGTGTTACATTACTGTTATTTCCATTTCTTTGAGGTGGTAATGGAGCTGATTGTCGACCATTGCTATTTCCCTGTCCTTGGTTTGAAGATGAAATTACTTGAGAAACATTACTGGGTACATCAGCTTGACGAACTGGTGCTTGTAAATTATTATTGACTGCATTTTGTTGACGTGACAATGGACTGGGTTTTTGTGTGCCATTAGAGCTAGCAGCTTGAACTACTGGTACGGGTGATTGTACACTACTGTTCACTGCATTATTTTGGCTAGCCAATGTCGATTGTTGGAAAGCATGATTTACTTTATTTCCATGATTTTCCTGAGGTTTGTTATTGGCCAGTGATCCATTTTGGTTTGCAAATCCATTGTTATTAGTTCCTGGATTCGATCGTGGAGCCGCTGTTGTAAGAATTATTACAAGAGAAAAAATAAATATTCTTGATAACATTGTTGCTTGGAAGTGTGTAAGGAATGTAATGAATATTTGAGTGATATTGACTAGTGAAACGAACCATATATATATATATATACATGTATACCCACACCATATTAACTTGTACTTTTTTAGCACATTGTGTTATATGGAAACAGCTGTGACATAGTAAATATGTTAATAGCAGTCTATATCAAAAAAACACAAGAGTGGAACAATGAAAATGAGAGCACATTCGAGAATAACTAAGGATAATGTACTTTTTTTTACTAACATCACCATCAGTTAGGGTTATGGATTCTATAAATGTTCTTTTTTCACATAAGAAAGTAATGATACAAAAATGATACATCATGACACTCTACATATGTAATGTACTTATTCTAACATTTCTAAAACAAGACGAATATGTACTCATTTAATTGAAAGAATATTATTCATTTTATATTACTTTTCTTTTAATGTATTAACACAACGAATACTGACAATAAAATTTGTCTTAAAACAAATTATATACTGTCTAATCAAAAGAGAAAAAGCCAAAAAAATAGTATTCAACTGAAACAGTACCAAAACATAAAAATACGATTGTATTTACAAAATCTGACATGGACATACCATAGATAAATTTAATTCCTTGTCCTCCTAAACTATTTCAAGATATTTATAACGAAAATTATTATAATATAGATACAAATAACAAAACATTTAACACTATTGAATGTGTAGATCTTCACTTCACTAGTAAATTAAAATATGATCAGATACAATTGAAATAAACAATATATCTAGATATATACGTTTGATAATTTCAAACCAACATCAAAACAATCAGAATACTGTATCTTATCTCGTTCAAATAATTGTCACATACTATCTTGATATTTATTGATATCAAGCCATCAATAATATTCTTTATAGAATTTGCTAGCGAAATAATAAGTTTTTTTTTTATTACAAATTTTATTCTAATCCAAATATGATTACGATTAGATTTAATTCATAAATAATTCTGACAATGATAATCATATGAATATTTATATTCAATATAGAACTTCTGTAACTGTCGATAGATCATTATTTGTTTTTGACAACTGATTTAAATAGAATTATTAGTACTCTATAATACCTACTGATACTAATCGAGGATTTAATTGTTGATTTGCTATATTTTGTATAATGTATTATCGCTTTTCTAATTCTGTATTACAAAGATTGATTTCAGATATATATTAACAATTAAATAGAATGAATATCTCAAATGAAACCCTTTGTACTTTTAATATAAAAAAAGTGATTAAAGTACAAACTGACGTACTTTTTACTGGTTGCTTCTAAAATAAACACATTTGAAAACATTTCTTTTGTCAAAAACACATATAGAAACTCGTTTATTTCTGCTTAGAAATTGTCATACACAGCTGTCGACACAAAACATATTAACTACCACAGATAATGGCCTTCATTCGATACATTTGTCTAACGAAATTTAAAATAAATTTTTAGTCTTTAGCATGACTATGCTTTAATTAATATATCTCGCATATAATTACTGAAAAAGATAGAGTAAGTATTTCAAAAGTGCCACCACTAAAAATTATCACTGATACTCAGTAGTATCTATTTGAATTAATACTTTAATCAATCATAAAATCTTACAATAATTTTATAATTCGATTTTCTCTGATGATAGTCTTTATTTACGTCTACGTTCATTTTTTTTTTGATTGAATCATCATCTTTATATTAATATGTATATCAAGCAATGTTTAATAATAGATAATCAACAATTATTTCGAATGCTTTTATGGCCACAATCATTTATAAGATAATACCTTTGAATTAAATCTTGATATTTTAATTTCTAAGTTTATGAAGTATAATCATAATGGTAGTTCTTTAATAATATATATGATATTTCTATAGGAAGTTAATTGTCTCTTGGTACGCCAAATGTAAAAGAGTACAAAAAAAATATATAGTTTAATATTATGAAACGATGATAAATTAGATATATTATCTTTTTTTATTATTGTTATATTTCTCTTTCAGTCTTGAATTTCCTTGTAGAGATATAATCACTCAAGCAAACTGCAATCTGATTATCCTGATGCATTATATTTTTCTTCTTCAATAGATTTGTGATGCTTAATTCTATGAATCTATATGAATACTAGTGCATTTTTAACGCATCAGTGTATGAAGAATAAAAAAAAAAGAATATTTAACTAGTTTTATTCTTATCTTTGATAATAAAGTATTTTATGGTTACAAGAATATGAATCCTGTTATGTGAGCGTTATTCTAATAGGTACCTCGTGTAATAGAACGATGCATATATAAATTGAAGATGAAGTGGGAATATTAATTTTATATGTGAGTATAAATAATCCTTCATATATTATACAATAAATCAAACACATAAAAAACACGATACAGGATAGGCCAAAAGTGACTCTACTGAAGAAAACATTTAAATGTGTCCAAGCATAGATAGATATTTTTACTGAAGGTCATTAATAGTCTCATTAAAAACTTTATTCATTTACAGGTAGAAAAAAAAGAATGATATATTTAAGAAAGGGTTTTTCTAAGCATGTCTTAATCGATATAAACTTTAAACATACTCCTATCATTAATAAAAAATCAGCTCGTTTAGTCACGCCGTAATGGAGATATTTAATATGTTTTTCGGTGAGGTTACCTTTGGACTATGCTGTACTACTCAGAAAATATCTTATTACGTTCGTTCTTTCTCATCTCTTTCTACGTAAATTTACTATTTTTCGCTATACAGGGAGATATACAATGAGTATAATCAAGCTAAGGACGAAAGAGACAAGAAGAATAATAAATCATAAATGAAGTATAAAGAAACGAGATATAAGAAGGATAGATAAATGAAATATATGGACCAGAAACCGATATCACTTCTAGAACAGCGTGGCTATAGTTAAGTATAAGATATTTTGAACACATAATTTTACTCATTTAACTTTTAAAATATGAGTTGTCAGATAGTCGGCATCATATACTTTTGGTGATAGTGCTACAGAACAATATACATTAGTTTTAGTTAGACATATTTGTTACGCAACGAGGAACTTATTGTATTTCATCCAATTTCCGGTACTATTTCATCCCAGGAAAAGTACAAATATAACTGACATTGTAGAAGATTATGACAAGAACTCATTATGTTTAACATATATGACTCGTTCAAGTACATATATATTTACGAACAAAAGAAGAATATATTTTTACATTTCTATAGAAGTCTAGAAAGGAAAAAAATGAATTAGCACATATCAAGTATAAAGAATAGTTTGATGTTTCTTGACATAGATTATAATAGTTAAATTTCAGTCTCCTATCATCAAATCAACAGTTTTGACTTTATATATTTTAAATGATTATACAACTTTTTTTGAACAGCTCATATTAATAAATTCATTCTATATAAAAAAGAAATATTTGATCTTTTCTAATATTAATATTATGACATCTGCTTTTATAATTCTCATTTCTGGACATTTCTAAGTGTTCATTGAAACATTTATATTGATCAAAGACTTTATTCTATGAACAATATATATATATAGATATGATTATAGGAATAGAATATATACATTCCTTAAGCTGAACACTGAGTAGTGTGTGAAGCTATAGACCCGTAATAAAAAAATTCAAAGAAAAAAGCATCCTTATTAATACGAGATTATTCAGCATACAACTTACTTTTTTTCTATAAAAGGTTTTTTTATCCTTATTATCTCTTTCGAAAGTTATTATCACATTCTTACATACATTGCAAGAGATTTACTCAACTAGAGTATCTTTATAATATTAACAAACAGTTTGCTACCTTGACAAAAAAAACTACATATTTTGCTTTTAGATAATTAATTTTAATTCAAATGTCATTTTAATATTCTATTAATATTCTTTTTGTTCCTCATCATTCCGAATCCATCAGTAAACCTGATACAAATATAAAATTTATCTCATTCTTCCTTTCAAAAAAAAAAAAGAAGCAGCAAGTAATTATAATGTCACGAAGCCGACGTATTGCTTGACTGTAAGAGAAGAAAAAAAAGAAGAAGAGCAATGTGAGCGGCACTTTGAGATATTGAATAACACAATACAATCTTTTGCAAACACTGTAACTCGTTACTTTGACGTGAACTATTAGTACAACATCCACCGAAGCAAAAGAAAATAATGTTGTTCATTCAGCAATATTATAAAACAATCTGTTTAATATTTTTTACATTTGTTTTTCTCTTAATAAATTATTCATATGATTTTAAAAAGTATTACCTATTACATCCATTTCAACCAATCCAGTCAATTCCACCATTGGATCAATCTTTATTATTTCATATAAATGGTAGTATAAAATCTATAGGTAAAGCGTCTCCAATCTATATTATTAATTTACCATCTCGTCCCGATCGACGCACCGAATCTATTGCACTGATGCAGACATTGAATTTAGAAGCATTTATTGTTCCAGCTTATTCCATTCATTCAACTGAGATCCTTAGTCGAAATAAATATCGTAATAAACTACTTCTTAAATTAACTGAATTAGCTTGTTGGGCAAGTCATATGCGTGTATGGTTAACTATAGCTAATAATACACCTTGTCAAAATAATGCATGGTCAATTATTGTTGAAGATGATATAGATCTTGAAATTGATACACCTCAAATAATGCAGTCATTTTCACATTCAATATGGAATGAAGCTGATTTAATTTATCTCGGTCATTGTGCTAATACACCTGGAAAACTTATAGATCAATCATCACAACATAATTATCGTGTTCATCAAGCTCTTCATCCAAGTTGTACACATGCATATGCAATTCGATCAGATGCTGCTAGAAAACTTATTTATCTATTATCGAAACCATCAAGAGCAATTGATGATTCAATAGTAAAACTTGTTGATAATCATCAACTAGTTGCTTATAGTATTCATCCACCTTTAGCAATGCAACAGCCAGTTTCGAAAAACAATCCTTCAGATGTCAATCAAATCGATAGGCAATCTTTTATTTATCGAATACAATTTTCGATTTATAAATTTACACAATGGTTATATAGTGTGCCATCGTATGAAAAACTAAATAAATCAGCATTACAAAAAGCTAATTTAACTAAAGCAATATCCTGGAGAAAAATGTATGAAAAAGGAATTTGGAAAAATATTTAAATACAATTAATATATGACAAATCAATTGTATTTTCTTCTATTATAGATAGACGACGTAAGTTAAATATTTATAATTTTGTTTGAGAGAGTTTTATTTTATTAATTTTTCTGACTTCAGGTATAAAATATGACGTCTGTTTTTAGTTACATCATTTATTAAATTAGAATAAAATAAGAGAAGACATCTTGCGGAAATGATTAAAATTCTTTGAAGATGATTTAATCAAATAAAGATGTACGTGCTAATAGGATGATATAGTCCCCGTTTTCTTTTTCATATAATCCTTGAAAAATGAAATAGTTTTATATTACGAATAGAATATTAATGAACATATTTCTCTACTCATTAGAATGTGTACTTAAAGTTCTTTTTTATAAATATAGTATAGACTTTCGAATATAAGAAATAATGATAATAATATACTATCAAAAATATCGTACTGTCATCTCATATGAGTGTTGTAATACAAGAAGTAGACGGATAGCAAAATATGTTGATTAAATAATAATAATTGAAATTTTTAAGATTATAAAATATTTAGTAAACTGGAGTAAAGTCATATTGAAAATCAGATATGCCATGAATTCATGAAATGAATTCTAAGTTCTTATTTTTCGAAAACTTGTCAATATACATATATATATATGTACTTTAGAAAATGATACATATTTAAGAGACAAGCCATAACAAAATCCAGAAATCGAATCACTCGATAAAGTTTAGATTTTTTATTTGATGTTTTCACCGTGTTTAGTATTACTTAAAATCTCTAAATCTCAATTTTTAGCACCTTTAGGTCACTCGAAAAATGCTACTCATGAACAGTATTTCATAGATAATTATCGACCAGTTCAAGGAAAAATAATATATAAATAGGTGATTTTATTTAGCTTGGACGCTCTATCTTTTAGTATACTAAAATAAAAACATTGTTAATTTCGTAACATTTGAAAAAGTTCATCTTTTTAGGTATGATTGTCCACCAAATTCTCTGAACATCTCCGCGAATGGTGCTAAACAAGCTGAAAACATCAAATCAAAATGCTAAATTTTATCGAGTAATTCGGTATCAGATATGGTGGTCGATCGTCTTATGGACCTTCTCTTGACATCTGATCAATTTGTTAGTTATATCGCTTTCAATTTCAAATCATCTTAACAACTTTATTATTTTCAGGACTGCTGTTCAATAAAAACATCTTCTAATGTAATTAACAATTCATCTACAAACACATCTGAATTCAACAAATATGATACAATATTTGTTTTATACAATATACATATGCCATTGATAATATATACCATTTATGAAACTGATCCTTATATTTAACAAAAAAAACCATTTCAATTTACATGTACTTAATATCAAGCAGAACTACCACGGCGAAAAGTAAAATCTCACTCGTTCAAAAAAATAATTAATCAGAAAATTAAAATATACAAAATTTTATTACGAAGAACAGAAAAGTGGGTACGGCGAACTTTAGTAACCTAGGGCCACAACATATAATTTCTTTCATCAATCACTGTTTTCGCGATTTACAAGGCAACGTTCGAAATAAATCTTTCCCGATAACGAACATACGTTTTTAAATTAATTTTCTGAAAATTCCCAATGTTTTTACGCTTTCAAATTTCTTTTATAAATAAATGTTGCTCAAGGAGGTGCAAAATTTGGCTCACTGTCAGATGCTATATAAATTATTTTTAGGACAAAGTCCTGATGAGTAAAATTCTCACTTCAGGGTATGGATGTGGGTAGAATAGAAATAAAACGCCCACGCCCATATATTATTCATGTATAATTCAATAGAGAATCAAAGTCTGAATATTTTCAACTAATTATTATGTTTGAGACAAATTTTAATAATTATATACATGTACAAGGTTAATTGAGATTGATGAAAAAAGAATTTTTCTCTTCAAGAATTTGTCCTACAGTCAAATCGTACTTAATTCGATAAAGAATTAAAGTCTAGATCTTGTCAAATATTTTAAATCTTTGAAATAAATTTTGTGAATAAAAAAAATGATTTTAATCGATCTGTTGAAGAGCGGATTTCTCTCTTAAAGAATGTGTTCCAGATATAGTTTATAGGCGATTGAATAGGGAATCAGATTCTACTTTAACTGCATTATCTTTAATCTCTAAGAGAAACTACGAAAATAGGATGAAAATCTATTTGAAGATATGATATCTATATAACTTTGTTGGCCAGCATTGTAGTAAGATTTCATTCTATCTTGTCGTTGCCCGGGCGTTAATTCAGGTAGGATACGATAGAATATGAAGTTTTCTATCAGGATGCGTTTGCTACAGATTTAGAATTTTTTTTTTTGGTTTTCGGAGGCAATGACTCATTGAACGGTGACTAATATGATCGACTAAAAATTAAAAATTGCTGGGCAAGGTATTGAATGGGTTCTTTATTTTTTTTAAATTCTCTCATGGATTAGACTAGATTGATTGGATCCTTTATCAGTTGTGATTTGATATAGTAACTAAGGCAAATATTGAGTATTTTAAGGGATACGAAATGTATTTTTTGGTTTTTTTTTCTAGTTGCTCAGTCTATGTCAAAATCTGATTGGACGTCTTGGTGGCTTCACATCGATAGACGCACGTAATTATAAAGTCACCATACCGACGCATTGCTTGATTGTAAGAAACGAAAAAAAAAGCAGCGTGACGCGACACCCTGAGATGTTGAATAATACAAATAAAAACCTTTGCAACCACTATAAATCATGATTTTGATGTGAACTATTAATGCTACATCCTTCTTAGCAAAAAACAATAATGTTGTTCATCCATCGATATAATAAAACAATGCTGTTCATTCAGCGATATAATAAAGCGATTTGTTTAATATATTTCACATTTATTTTTCTTTCAATAAATTATTTATATCATTTTAAAAATTATTCCATATTACATCCTATTCAACAAATTAAACCATTGGATCGATCTTTATTATTTCGTATAAATGGTAGCACGAAATCTTTAGGTAAAGCAACTTCAATCTATATTATTAATTTACCATCTCGTCCTGATCGACGTACTGAATCTATTGCACTGATGCAAACACTGAATTTAGAAGCATTTATTGTTCCAGCTTATTCTGTTCAATCAGTTGAGATCGTTAGTCAAAATCGATATCGTAATAAACTACTTCTTAAATTAACTGAATTAGCTTGTTGGGCAAGTCATATGCGTGTATGGATGACTATTGCCAACAATACGCTTTTGCATAATAATACATGGTCATTTATTTTCGAAGATGATATAGATCTTGAAATTGATACACCTCGAATACTGAAATCATTTTCACATTCAATATGGAATGAAGCTGATTTAATTTATCTTGGTCATTGTGGTGATATACCAGGAACACTTATAGATCAATCATGGAAACATATTCATCGTGTTCATCAAGCTCTTCGACCTAGTTGTACACATGCATATGCAATTCGATCAGATGCCGCTAGAAAACTTATTTATCTATTATCAAAACCATCAAGAGCAATTGATGATTCAATAGTAAAACTTGTCGATAACCATCAACTGGTTGCTTATAGTATTCATCCACCTTTAGCAATGCAACTACCAAGTTCGAACACAAATCCATCAGATGTCAATCACAGAAATGAACAATCATTTATCTATCGAATACAGTTTCTATTTAAGAAATTTTCACACTGGTTGAAACGTGTACCATCGTATGAAAAACTAAATAAATCAACATTACAAAAAGCTAACTTAACTAAAGCAATATCTTGGAGAAAAATGTATGAAAAAGGAGTTTGGAAAAATTATAATTAACAACAATTAGTATTTATTTATAATATTATCAGGAAAAAAAAGTATTTAAATATAATTTATATATGATTCGATGTATTTATATGAAGAAGTCAACTGTATTTTTTTCTACTATAGATAAACGACGTAAGTAAAATGACTGTTATTTTGTTCGAAAGAGTTCTATTTTATTAATTTAACAAGTAACAAGTAACAAAACTAGTTAATGATTATTTTTTCAGTTTTCTGATTTCACTTGTAAAATATGACATCTTTTTTCGTTACATTTTTTTGTTAATTTGAAATAAAATGATTAAAGTTCGTTGAAGGTGATTCAAAGTGTTGATGTAGGTGTGATTGCAGGTGAATGTGGATGTGAGTGAGTGTGAGTGTTAGCGTTTTGTTTTGATTCTAACCACACCCACTTCTATGGTTGAAGTGCTCTGATTTTTGTTATAAGTCGCAATGTCTTTAGAATAATTTACTACATTAAGTATTCTAGTATTAAATAGTTCTGATATCTTGACATTATCATTCTAAGCAAATATGTCAAGTCTGTCAAAGGTGATTTTCATATTCAAGTTGTTTATAAATACGTTGATATCTATACATTTTTTTTTGTTTTCCTCTTCAGTATCCATCGCAAATGAAACATCAGTGGTTCTTTTATTTCTGTAATTATCTATTGCTTCTGAATAAATCGCATAATCAATCATATACCTTTTACTTATATTAGAAATTGATTGTTTTCCGCAACCTTCCCATTTTTCCTCCATGTAGGGTATAAGAAATTTTTTACAAATGATTACATTTTCTCTTCGTATAGTCAACTAAGAGCTCATGTCACTGATAGATCAATATTTTTAAACGAATTTGCAATGGAAATTTGGAAATGTTTCATCATGAGCAAAAAGAGTATGGTAAAATTATATTAATATTTATTATATTTCTCCTAATCCACTTCTTTACTAATGATGTGTCGATATAGGTTTAGTGCAGTAAATTTTCGATAACAACTTAAACAATTATTTTTGTATATATAATCTCTATGTTTCCCTAGTAACTGGTGAGTTTCTAAGTACTGCCTGTAGAAAAAAAACAAAATAAAACAATTTTTATTCTCATTTAGATTTCAGTGAACAACTAAACCAACCGTAAGTATAAATCGAAGAAATAATGGTTAATTTCATATATAGCACTTTTAATTTCTTCATCATCATCGTCATCAATCAAAGAAAAAGACAAACTAGATATAACTATTATCTATGTAAAGATTTTATTGCACTTTTTCGAAGTAAACATTGAAATCTATAAGGTAGAGCTAATAATGAGAAAGCAGATATGCGACTTGGATCGAAAATACTTTCGCCATTCTTTAAAAAAATATATAATTTTTATGAATAATTAACAGATTTATAGTGCTGCAAGACCATGAAGATATAAACCATATATAGTCCATATCTTTATTGCTCAGAATTATGAATTATAAGATTATTAGATATGCTAAAAGAAAGTCTGCAAGGCATAAAGTGGTCATATCTTCGCTTACATCGTGCATTTCTGCAGAATGATAATTTGTTATGCAATATTTTATATCATATCAAAGGTGCTACATTAGTTTAGAGAGATAACAACTACTGTTTTACCTCAGGCATTATGTTCAGCACTATATAGTATATTCAAAATAGCTTGAATTAGAGTTTATGTAAGAGTACTTGTTGTAGTATAAATGTTAAATAAATATTTGAAATGAAAATAATCTTTTATTCTATTGTCAAAAAAGAATGAATAAAAGAACTCTTCTATTGTGAAAATACGACAAACAGAGTCACTCAAGCAATCAACCAAAGCATATAATTAAAACAGATCGGTTATTCATTCAAGTAGAATCGAAACTAGTTTTTCAGTGTATCATGAAAAGACATTCAAGGTAACAAATAATTATCTATTGGTTTATACTTCTATTGTAAATACTAGCAAAAGTCTAAATCGAACTGCAATCATTTAACATTTACTACAGTTTAGACATAGTATATATCTACACAAAATGAACTAACTCAATTATCTCATTTTTTTGCGACGATATTTCATATATATTTTGATAAATTATTTTCATTTTCGATAATGTATAAACTTTAAAGACAGACAAAGTATTTTAATGCAAAAAAATGGCATTTTTCTTTTCTGGAATGTATATTCACATGAACAGTAAACAAAAGACACTCGGAAGTCTAATTATTAACATCGGTCATATCAGTATAGTTTTTTCTCTCATAATAATTAAAAAAACGTGCGTAATCATAGTACTGAAAAAGTCAAGTACTATTATTAATTGGCATATGCATTAATCGGAAACAGAATATGTAAACGAGTCATCATTCAAATATATCCTTTGACTAAAAGCAATGTACACATAAGGTTATAATGAATATTATATAAACGAAAAATCGTGGATAATATCGAAACAAAATACGATGTAACATTCAATCTTTTGAATTTTTCGTGAATAGTAAAAGAAACTTTTATCGCCATCTATAATTCAATTTCTATATATGAATATTTCAATAAGATTATTTATCACAAGAATTGTTTCGTTGGATTGAATTTTATTAAATAAATAAAATTTGTTTCTTTTTTTCGAAAATTTAAAGCGCCATCTAGACTATCATATTTTCCTCCATTGGTTGAATAGTCCAATTAAATTATTTCTGGATTGCTGCCATTTTGTTTATTTGTTTTCTCTTTGTTCTTACTATTATCGATTGTCAGTCCGTCATTTAATCGTTTTTCTTGTACTGCTGAATATCTTAACGAATTTTTCTTTCTTTTTGTTTTTGATTATTGCTTCGAATGTTGAATGTCTAGTTCAGGGGGCAGTAACCCAAAAAAGCCACGTATTGACTCAACTAGTCTACTTTCTGGTTTGTAATTGACACTTTTTTTGAACTTTGATAAAATCGAAAAAAAAAATCTTTTTTTCTTCCCTTTTCTAGCTATACCTTCACGAATGCCTCTATCAAATGGTCCTGGCGCATCCGGTGCTCGTCCACTTGTTGCACTACTCGATGGACGTGATTGTACAATTGAAATGCCTATATTAAAAGATATGGCAACGGTAGCTTTTTGTGATGCTCAATCAACATCAGAAATTCATGAAAAAGTTTTAAATGAAGCAACAGCTGCATTAGTCTGGCATGCAATAACATTAAAAAAAGAAGATTTAGCCAAATTTAAAGCATTGAAATTAATTGTACGTATTGGTTCAGCATATGATAATATTGATATCAAAGCAGCTGGTGATCAAGGTATTGCTGTATCAAATATTCCATCACAATATGTAGAAGAAATGGCTGATACAACGTTGAGTATGATATTAAATTTATATCGTCGTACAGCATGGTTAGCACAAACAGTTAAAGAAGGTAAACGTGTATCAACACCCGAACAAATACGTGAAGCTGCAGCTGGTTGTGCAAGAATTCGTAATGAAACATTAGGAATTGTTGGACTTGGACAAGTTGGTATGGCTGTTGCTGTACGAGCGAAAGTTTTTGGTTTTAATGTTATATTTTTTGATCCTTATCTTTCTGATGGAATTGATAAAGTTTTAGGTAAGAAGAAATTAAATAAAAAAAACATTTTATGAAAATTTTTAATAATTTATTTATAGGAATTACACGAGTATTTACATTGCAAGATTTACTTTATCGTTCTGATTGTGTCACACTTCATTGTTCACTTAATGAACATAATCATCATTTAATTAATGATTTTACTATAAAACAAATGAGACCAGGAGCATTTCTTGTTAACGTATCACGCGGTGGTCTTGTGGATGAAACAGCATTAGCTGTAGCATTAAAAGATGGTCGAATACGTGGTGCTGCACTTGATGTTCTTGAAAATGAACCGTATAATTTAGCTGCTGGTAAGAATACTTTTTTTTTGTGTATACACAATTCATGATACGTTACAGAGAGTAAAGTTTAAGGCTATTTGTAAATTGTATTCTTAAATATGACATAATCCTTTTTATTTACAAAAAAAGATATCCATAAAAAATTTCAACAAAAACCGAAAAAAGAAGATATTTTAAAATTTCATATTTTAAAAGCTTGCATGTGTCAAAAAAAATCGTACGTCTCCTTTCAGTTACTATAGTGTTGTTAATCATATACACTACATTGATTTGACTAAATATATCAACATATTCAAGAAGTTGATCAAATGTTTTAATCGATCTATTGTATGAAAAATTGACATCTGTATTAACTTTAACGCTTCTTTCAAATTTTTCAGTGTTTTAAAACTTTCTCGAATAGAAAAGCAAATAGGAGATAAGTGAAAAAGTTCTATTTTTACTGTAATGTCTTATTTGAATGAATTCTAACACAAATCATAATCGTGTTCTTTGTGATTTCTCGTTAGTCAAGTACTCTCAATGACTTTTTTTTATCATATAATCCTATTAGTAAATTTATTTTATCAACGATATCTTTTTGACAAATAGATTTAGTATTCTTCTTAATAAATATTTCTTAAAATATTTTTAGGACCATTAAAAGATGCAATTAATTTAATATGTACACCACGAACGGCATGGTATAGTGAAGCTAGTGCACAAGAAATTCGAGAGAATGCAGCACATGAAGTACGTCGTGGTTTAACAGGAAAAATGCCTGGTTCACTTCGATATTGTGTTAATAGAGATTATCTCAATGTACCACGTAAGTTATTTAACAATTAAAAATAATCTTTTTCTTTTCTTTTTTTTTGAAATGAACATTTTAGGTTCAGCATATGATGGTAGTCTTAATGGAGTATCACCATTTTCATCATTATTTCCATTAGCTGCTCCATTTCTTGCTCAAACAGCAGCCAGTCAACTTTTAGGCGATACATCTCTTCAATCAACAACAGCATCATCAAGTAGTAGTACACCATCATTACTCTCAGCCGCTGGTAATAGTTCACCTGTAGTTGTACCAGTTACTATTGGCGAATCAGCTTTACAATCAGCTGCT